TAGATAGAGAGGTCAGAGGTGGGGTTGTGAGAGCGTGTCGATGATGAAGTCAAATATTGCCTCTTAGAAGTACATAAAAAGGCCAACTTGCATCGTTGCAATTTCCTCTTATTCTGTTCAGACAAAACACGTGTTTCTCTTTTTAAGCCAAGTTTATGTATAATTTTTTATTTTTTCCCCATAAATTATAGTGAAAATAATTGAAGCTGAGTGACCACAAAAAGAAAGGATGAATTTACAATATATATCTTAATTCATTATTCTAAAATTTTAAAGTTTATGTTTGTATTTTAATTAAGGGTATAACACATAAGGTGACTTTTGTTTTTTAAAAAGTTCCGAAGTCATATTTTACTTTTGATTGATTGGAGATGATGTTRARGTYTGAAATCTAAATCAATAARACTGTTTGTTTTTGTAAACTAATAAAAAGTCAGAATTTGTTTAAATTTGTCTATTTTACCAATTAAAATATTATAGTGTTGAATTTATAGATAMATTTAYATTTTTTCAAATGTTTATTCATCATCATTACGAAATTTACATCTAAATTATATAATTAGTATTAATTTAAATGAAAAYATGTCATTGACGATATTTAATGCATTTAAATTCTAYTAAAATACATCAATGAGAAAGGTGAGGATCGATTTTGTAAGGCTCRAATGAGAGAAATGATCGATTAAGGTTAATCGATTGAGAAACGTCTTTGCTAAGGGCTTGAAGAACAATAAGAGGTTGGTTTACCTCTTACCAGATAAGAGGACAAGAAGACATAAGTGTCTCTGAAAAATTGAAAAAAACAAACAATATGGATACCCCTATCTATTAAGTCTTAAAGAACTAGACATAAGAGGTTGATAAGAGCTTATTTAAAAAAAACACCCAAGAGTCTTACCCAGTATTACTTACCTTATCGATTGAGAATGATAAGGACCAATAACCTTACCCGGTAAGAGGCATAACAAACACCAAAAGTCTTACCCAGTAAGTTAAGGAAATGACTTTATCTGGTAAGGGCTTATCGGGTTTAGAACGTTTAACAACAATGTATTTTGATGCACAAACATGTTACATGATAAGATAAGTAAGAGTGATGCATTTTAACAGTACACGCTTACTTCGTAAACGTTTAGTAACAACTTTTATGTTTTAATCTATTAAAAGAAATTACCCAAGATGACTAATTTATACATAGTACACTAACAAAATGACTACTTTTCAGATTTTTTTTTCACAAAATGACTACTTTTCAGATTTTTTTTCCACAAAATGACTACAAAAAAATCCCCCTTGGAGGGCGATTTTACTTTATTGGGGGCGATTTGGGGTTTGAGGGTATGGATGGGTCCCACATGCATACAATTTTTGGGGCAAAAATTTGAATTTTATTATCATTTTATATAAAATCGCTCTTTACTATTGCAGATCGTTCTTTATATAAAATTTGATTGTTATTTCGTCCTATAGTGAAGAAATTCTATAACGCAACTTTTTAGTTGATTTGACAACTCCATCACGACGTGACTGAACATAAGAGGCGAATTGTACATGTCATATATCTAACCAACATGGAGATCCATCATTAATTAATTGGATGATGCAATGTGAGGACCCATCTTTCCTTTCTCAATTAATTGTAGGTATGAGCGTCACCACAACAAGGAAATAAACTACCGCTTTGATTGATTCTGATAGCAAAATATGGATTTCCACCATTACCACCGGGTTGAAAATTGTTCGGTTGATTTATTCTGATGGCAAAATATGGATTTCCTCCACTATCACCAGAGAAGAAATAACTTGATTGATTGATTCTGGTAGAACCATAGGGATTTCTACCACTAATACCGGGGTAAAAGTATTTGTGTGGTTGATGCCAGAAGGATCGTATGAGTTTGCACCATTACCGTCAGGGAAAAACATAATTGGTTGATGGATTACGACACTTGATGGATCTTCACCACCACCACCACCGTCGACAATAAAGAGTGTGAAAATTTGCGATAAATTTTGATGAATAACGTTTTGGAACATCACCACATCGTCGCCGTCATCTAGCTCAAATAACCCACAACTATGTAAGCTTAACTTTTTTTGTAACACGCTTAACCAAACCAAAATGTGTTATTAGTGAAGGGCCGAAGGCAAAGCCGCAAAGGTAATATACGTTTGGGCGCTCCTAACAACATACACTTTATAACACCATTTATCGTCTAGAACGAACTGACACTTTGAACATAAACAAACCATTATCACTTTGACGTGATTTCATACTTGTGTCAAGAGTTGTGATGATAGACTGTGTTTAAGGATTAAGAGTTGTGAGAGTAAAAGTGTTTGAATTAATACATTTTTATATAAAATACTACAAGAGTTATATATACTATGTTTGGTCCTTAAAAAGACAAAATACCAATGAAAATCACCCCTATGTCTAGTCACGTCGTCATTGAATTGTCAAATCAACCAAACGTTGCATCATAGAATGTCTTTACTACAGGGCGATTTTGTATAAAATGGTAAAAAAAATCATATTTTTATCCCCCAAATGATATGCATGTAGAACCTATCCGTACCCTCAAACCCTAAATCGCCTCCAATAAAATAAAATCGCCCTCCATTGTAATATTTTTAATGAAAAAAGTCTAAAAAATGGTTATTTTATTAATTTACCAATGTATAAATTGATGATTTTGGATTATTTCCCTAAAATTAAATCCGATAGTATGATGATTATTTCAACGATGTATGATATCATTTGATGGGATTTAGTGGTTGTTTGGCAATTGCTGAATGGTTTGGTACACAATAATTAAGTGGTCAGAATGATTAAGAGGCTCTCATGATATAGTGCAAAATAAAATATAATTGTTTGGTAATTGTATACAATAAAATTAGGGTTCTTAATGGTTAAGAGAGATCAAAGATACAAAATCATTCAAAGGATTTTAGAATCATTAAGAGACTGATTTTTTTTTTTTGCTAAATAAAATTCAACTCTTAACGATTTAAAAATTGACTCTTAATATAATTATTAAGAGATAAACAAACAACTCTTAATGTAAATAATATGGATAATTCTTTTTAAATATTATCTCCAATAATATCCATTAAAATATCCAATAATTGTTTTCTGAAAAAGATTGAAGGGATAATGCAAAGTCAAACAAAAGCATAAAAAGTCAAAAGGACGACACAGAGGACACGCTTAAGGTCAAACAATAAAGTCAAATGCCATTTTTGTAAATTTCCTCAATTTCAGCTCCATATATATATACTCGCACAAACAGCAGTACACCGCATCTTCTTCCACCAAAGCCATTCCTCTCTCATTCGCTCCGATTTCCAAAATCCCATGGCTGGATACCCACAAAACCCATCCGGCTACAACTACGGGGCGCCACCGCCGTCTCAACAATACTACTCCGCCGCGTACGGTGCTGCACCACCACCATACGGCCAACACCAACAGTCGCCTTACGCACATGCAGTTGCCAGCCCCTACGGTGCACCCTCTTACGGTGCACCCTTATCCTCCCCGTTCGCGGCACTTCTTCCGTCGACGTTCCCTCCGGGAACGGATCCAAACGTGATTGCATGTTTTCAGATGGCTGATCTGGACGGGAGTGGAGCTGTCGATGATAATGAGTTGCAGAGATCGTTATCTGCGTATAATCAAAGCTTCAGTATCCGTACCGTTCGTCTTCTCATGTATCACTTCACCAACAACAACACTAGAAAGATCGGTACATCTCTCCCTCCACCACCGGCGTCTTTTAGCAATTGGTCATTCCTCACACCAAAAATGTTACAATATTTTAAAAGTAAAACATATGTCACAGGAAATTGATCAAAATATTCGACCTATCAAATTCACTTTTTGGTCAACTTTTCAGAAAGTAACATATTTAATTTTTTTATTTTAGGAAATGTAGTTTTAAAACTTCGATTTTGGTATTTAAGATGTAAAATTTTAAACATTTAAGTACTCAGATAACCGGTTGAAAATGAGTTTTAGATTAAAAAAGATTAATTTTAGATTAAAGAATTCATGTCCCTCGTCACATCAGCATAAAAACCGGTTTCAGTTAATATTTCAACTAGTTACCCGGATACTTGAATGTTTAAAATTTTACATCTTTTAAGTACCACAATGGAAGTTTTGAAAGTACGTTACCCAAAACAAGAATCAAGTTAAAGTACGTTATTTTTTCATGCAATTTGCTCTTCAAAAATTACGTAAATTTGTGTTGATTTTATTTTTTTGGATCTGGTTTTAGAATAAATACTAAAATCGAAATGAACATAAAATGACGTTTTTATCCTCCGTTGACTTGGTTATATCAGGACCTAAGGATTTCACTCAGGTGTTCTATAGTCTTCAGAATTGGAGGGTATGTGAAGTCTTTTTACATATTTTTGTTAATACATTATTTATAATTTTATAATACAATTTACATTCATGATTTTAGTTCATTTAAAAGTTTCGACCGTTTGAATAAGTCATCTACTCTTTATCTTTTCAGGCAAATTTTGAAAAATTCGATCGAGATCGCAGCGGTCGTATAGATGCTTTGGAATTGAGAGAGGCACTTGCGAGCCTCGGTTTTTCCGTTTCACATTTTGTCTTGGATTTGCTCGTTTTGAAGTTCGACAAGACGGGTGGAATGAATAAGGCCATCGAGTACGACCATTTCATCGAGTATGTCTCCATCACGATCCTTGTTTCTCATATTTTTCATCTCGAGTTTTAATTGTTCTTCTAATTGCAGTTTTTGATATTATTGCTGTTTTTTTTTAAATTTCAGGTGTTGTCTCGTCGTTAAGGTATGTAACACGAGAACATGACATATAAAAAGTTATATGGAAGTTAGAGGTCGTTTGGTTCGCGGAATTTGAAGGAATTGAAATGACAAATTCTTTTGACCAAATCCCAATTCATTTGTTTGGTTTAATTTTTGAAATAGATGGAATCCTTCAAATTCCATTGAATTCCACAAATTAATGAATTCAACATTTTTTAGCATAATGGAAGGAATTTAATTCCATCATCACCCACCACGACGATGCTACTATTGTTCGTCATGCCCCACCCCTAACCCCCCACCACACCAATACTATTGTTGCCACCCACCCTACCCCACCACTAACCACCATGCACTATTGTTGTCATCACATCCACCCACCTCAGATCACTCACTGCACATTCCTCATACGACCATGCTACCACCATTACTGTCACTCCCCTAACCTACCCCCCCACCACCACACCATTATTGTTATAGTTACAACTGCCATTCACCCCCACCCCAACCCATCACTAACCACCATGCCACTACTATCGCCATCATACCCACCCACTCCCAGCCACCTAACCACCATCCCACCACTATCGTCGTCACAACTACCACCTCGCCTCCCATCTCCACTGCCCTGCCCCGCCCCTAACCTAACCCCCCACCCCTACACCACTATGGCCGCCTTCACAACCGCCACTCACCCACCCTACCCTTACCCACCATTAAACACCATGCCACTATTGTTGTCGTCATACCCGCCCACTCCCAGCCCCAGCCCCAGCCCCAGCCACCCAATCACTATCACACCACTATCATCGTCACAGCTACCACTTCGCAACCTACCCCTTACCCACCCCACCGTCCTGCCCCCATCACGCCCCACCTTACCCTACTCCAACCCACCACTAACCACCACCCAGCTACCACCCTGCCACCCACTGCCCCACTCTAACCCCACCCATAGTGACATGGTGGTTGGTAGGGTGTGGGCAGGGCGATGAGTGCGATAATCCAAACAAAGACGATTGTTTCAATTTTTTGAGATATTTCATTCCAATTCCTACCAACCAAACGCATAGTCAAATTCCGTCAAATTCCATTACAATTCCTTCAAAGTCAAATTCCTTTGATGGATTTCAATTCCATCAAATTCCATTATGTGAACCAAACACCCCCTTAGAGACTTGGTATTTCATGAAGTCTTGTATGGACAAAATTGTCTGTATGGATTAATCTATTTGTATGGTAAGTGGGAGTAGCAAGTTTGGAAAAACTTGGTTTTGTACATGAAGGTTCTTCTTAAATACTTACTGAACAAGTCACTTTCTATATCATTAAACCACTAACAAACTATAGTTGACTGAATAAGTTGTGAGTCTTATTAAACTTATTAAGCTGCTAAGAAACACACATGTGTTAGACAACAATTAGAAATAATTGTTTGAAAAGATCTATTGATCCTTGGCTTTTATTGAACTCTGTGTCATAGGGGTTAACGGAGAAGTTCAAGGAGAAGGACACGGCATACTCAGGCTATGCAACATTCAGTTACGAGGCTTTCATGTTGACGGTTCTCCCGTTACTTATTGCATAAGACGGGTGCCCTTTGTCTGTTAATACTGAAAATTTAGAAAACCGTATTCAGTTTTTCTTGTAATTTTGTAACGTTGTTTGTATATTTTTTGTATCGTCAACACATTGTCCTGTATTTTTTATTCTATCAAAAAAATTATAATATTCTTTTTACTTTCAACACCTCTTATGCTAATTTATATGAAAATGTTACTTTTTAAATACATATGCGTATGAATAATCATTCTATAGTATTTAACGTGCTCTATAAGTATAAATTGTAATTAGTTATGCACGCCACTCGGGCTTTTTTGGGTTTGGGCCTTCCGATCCCGTTTTTCAGCAAGCAGGTTCTCTTGGATCTTGACAAAAAAAGTTGACCTGTTTAGACTTTAGGGGGTGTTTGGAATTGCTTATAAAAACAACTTATTGACTTATTCCGGTGTGGCACAGGTAATAAACACTTTTGAGTGTTTGGATAAACAACTTATACCGATGTCAACATGTAATAAGAAGTTTTTGAAGAAGTTAAACCATTCTAATTTATAATAAGTTAATAAGTACTTTTATAAAAAAAACATAAGTTGTTTCAAATAAGCAATCCCAGACACCCCCTTAATACTGACWTGAGCTTGAATTTGGGCTTCGGCTTGCTAGACCTGGCTTTTTCGGGTGTAGATTTTTTGGGCATTTCTAAAATGGTTGACTACTAAAAGAATACTGTAAATCCTAGCAGTGATCAACAAATACAGAAAGAATGTTTCTATAACATGGTAGTCTATATACACMATTATATATTGTTAAATGCACCCTACCTACTAATTCTTTTGGGTGTTGTTATATGCACCCACATTTATGTTAGAATGGGGGACACTAATTGCACSCCTATACATTGTTAAACGCACTCATCCCTAGTACTTTCCTCCTCACATACATCAACATCAAAACTCACTTTATGCATTCTCAATACATGAATTGATCTGATTTTGACATTAAAGGAGGTGCAATTAGCAATGATGTGATATTATTATTCTCATCTGTTTGCCGGTGTCGGTGCAAGAGAATCTGTTGGTAAATCAAATTGCCAAATTTGTCTTTCTCCGAGTGCTTGAATTGGCCTTGCATTTTCTTCAAATTCCTAAAGGAAAAACATAAAAAAATATATTAAAAAATCATTTGTTATATATATATATATATAAGGTTGGGTTCACGTGAGACCAAGAGTTTTTCGTGAGACCCGTAAGACCAATTTATGTTCATTGATCAAATTTATAAATTAATGATCTAATGGTTGCAAAGTTGCAAGGTGGCAATTTCGTAATTAGTGAGAAGTCTCGTGGCGTTTATAAATGTTCAGATCTGACGGTTGTAAATCTAATCCAAGGGTTGAGAATTGGTCTTACGGGTCTCACGGAAAACTATTGGTCTCACATGATCCCAAGTCTATATATATATATATATATATATATATATATTGTATTATAAAACATTTAATTTAAACTCTTAAAAATTATTTTTTATGCATCAAATACCACTTATTAATGTATATTACTTGAAATTCAAGATTACAAGTTGATTAAACATAAATACAACTTAATAAAACTTATATTCAAGTTCATGTAAAACGAGATAAAACATTTATATTTGTTTTCTAAAGTATCTAAAATATTATATCTATTTCTATAACTAACCGATAAACACAAGAAAATCCGAGATAGAACATCTTATTTTAATTTTTTTATTAAAATATATTATTTATTTGATTTTAGATATAAAATATAATTATCTTATAAATTAAGCACTCGACCATAACAAAATATTTTATCATTATTTTTTAAAAAAACTATTACAATTAAACTAAAAAACTATTACAATTAAACTAAGATAAAATACATTTTGATTGCAGAGAATTCTTATAAGAATCCCACCCCATTTGAGTGCTTATACAAGAACTCTGGTTCTTACCTTGTAGTTGGTTTGAAGTGACAATTTACTGGTTTCTTTTTTATATATTTGTTTATTAATATATAATGATTATTGATGTTAAAAAAATATATGGACCCATAAAAGAGGTTCTTATAAGATTTACATAATTTTTTATATATTTTATTGACTTTATGATTATTAATATTATACATAAATAATAATTATTGATGTTTAAAAATACATGGGACCCAACTATCATTGTGAATTTTYATGTGAGTTCTTAATTTAATGAGTTGAAAATGAGGTGACAACAGAAAGTGCAAAAAGATACTCTTAATCTGATAAGTTGGAAGTGATGTGGCAGTAAAAAGTAAGTGAAATAAACAGTTTCAATGCAAGGTAAGTAAAAAAGATAGGTTCTTAAAAGAACCACTATTAGAGAGAGTTCTTATAAGAATCTCATATCATTTGAGTTATTATACAAGAACATTGGTTCTTACCTTGAAATTGATGTTAAGTGACTTTTTTCTTAGTTTTTTTAAATATATTTTATTTGACTTTAAAATTATTATTGATGTTAAAAAAAATACATGAAACCTACAAAAATGGGTTCTTGTAAAAACTACTATTATGAACGTATATGCAGGTTCTTATAAGAATTACTACTGTGAATGTTTATATAAGTTTTCAATTTGATGAGATGAAAATGATATAGCAAAAAAGGTACAAAAAGCGGTTATTATAAGAACTTCCATCAAAGATTATCTAAGAACCACCATTGGAGATGCTCGATACCAAAACTTCAATACATATAATCTTGATTTCAATCTTGGTTTTTAGGAGACTTCTTTATTTGAATCTTGATTTCATTTGCATAAAAGTTTTTGATTTAGAATTGGTTAGGTTTTTGGTTTTGATTTAAGTTTTGGGTTTGTTTTAAAGATTAAAATGGTGAAGATCAGTGGCGGATC